GCTGCGCACCCCGCGTCGTGCCGGCGGACGAGCCAGCCGCCGACCGGGCAGGCCCGCGCGTGTCTGCCTTTCGGGTCGAGCGGCGCGCCACAAGTCCCGCCATTGGGGTGGCGGTGCTGGCAGAGCCCAGTGCAGCCCGGCAGGTCGAGGTTCAGGCGAACTCCCACTGCGATGCTGAACTGCGCGTTGCTCAGGCGGTGGCGCGCCTTCGTGGGGGCCTAGAGCCAGCCGCTCGCCCCTGCCCCCCCTGCCGAGCGCAAGGCGGCCGCCGCGGGAGGGCCCTCGCCTGCCGCGAGGTCGGCGACCAGGCGGGCAGCCGCAGCGAGAGGGGCCGTAGCCAGTGAGCGCTGCGTTGCTGCCAGTCCTTCGTCGCCCACCTGGGCCGTAGTGTCCCCCAGCGCCTCCTGCAGCGTGGCCGTGGCCGCAGGGAGGCAGCGCCTCGCCCAGGGGCTGAGGGCGGCCAGGGCGCTGGCGTCCGTCAGTCCCAGCCTGCTCAGGCAGTGCGGCACGCTGTGGTGCCAGGAAGCGGCGTGGGCGGCAGGCGCGGTCAGCTCCACGCTCTGGAACCCAGCGCCGCCGTCCTTCCCAGCGAGGAAGAGCTGCTTGCCCGCCGTGCTGCTCAGCTGTTGTAGTCCGAGGGCGTGCTGCGCCTCCGCCGCTAGCGCTGCGCCCATGGCCCGGGCCTCCGCCTCCGGGATGCCACAAGTGCGGGCCACGAACGCGTAGTCAGAGCCCGTCTTGAGTCGGAGCAGCGCCGCAGCAGTCTGTCGGTCGAGTCCCGCCGCCTGCAGCTGGCGCAGCCGCAGGAAGAAGCGCGCGCGCTTCTCTGCCAGCGCGGACACCTCTGGGCCCCCCTCGGCCAGGATGCTCCCCGCGGCTGGGGCGACAGCAGGGGCCGCGGGCACCGGCGGGAAGGTCCCGTGCCTTAGTACGAGCGCCCGCGGCTCCACCTCCCACCGGCCCGTCAACGCGGCCACCGGCACCTCCCTGCCAGGACTCAGCTTGGTCTTCGACGGGTTGGGCCGCAGTCGTACTTCGGCGCAGGCCCGCCCGAACGCCTCCTCAGCGGACTGCGCGGCCGCCGTGGCACAGACGACGTCGAGGTCGTCCTGGTAGGCGTAGCTCCTCCCAGGGTCCGTTTCGAGGCCCGCCGCGCGCTCGACAGCATCCACCACCTTCTTGTAGCAGAGCGGGAAGACCATGTTGGTCAGGCCGTCCCCTTGGTCTCCGCCGCGCTCCTTCGGGAGCTGCGTCCTCGTGCCGTCCCGCGCGACGTGAACGTGTTCGGTGGCGGTGCTCAGGGCCAGGCGGGTCCACGGGAGCAGGTCAGGGACCAACTCCTGAACCGCCCTGGCGGCGGCCTCGCGGCAAAACTCGTTGTGGGCATTGCTCACGTCCAGTGCGAGCTTGCAGCACCCAGGCCGGGTGTCGAGGTCCAGGAGGGCCGCCTTGTGCATGCGCTCCGCCCCGCGTGCCCCTCCTCCTCCTCCTGCTCCTCCTCCTCCTCCTCCTCCTCCTCCTCCTCCTCCTCCTCCTCCCAGTGCGCGGGTGGAGAGCGGGTCGCCTTCGGAACGAATCTCGTCTGAGAGTTCCCTCCAAATCACTATTGCAGAATCGTGCTGTCAAGGATGGAGGCCGGCTCCTTTTCAAACTTGGGCTGTCGCCTGACAGTGCGTAACTCTTTCTATAACCATTCACGTCGTGCTGCAGCTAAACGGATGCAGGGCGGCTCCTGTCTGAAGGCGGAGCTGCCGCGCTATCCTTCGTCTCTACAGCCCCACATTGTCGCACTCCTTAGATATAGCTCCATTGATGGAGGGTGGTCCGTCAAAAACCAAGCTGCCACCTGAACTGCGAGCCCGTGGGGCGGTCGTCTTTCAAGGGTGCGGCTCGCGCAGTAATACTTTAGTGGCGAAGGAACTTGTGACAGGAGGGTGCCATTTAGTGTCGTTGATACATCGTGCGATTAGCTTGGCCCTCCAGTTCTATGCATGTACTCCCCTGATCCCGAAAGACGCATCAACGAAAGCCATACGATCAGACGGCGCTTCCTGATCCAAAGCCCACCTACGTCGTCAGGACCACTAACAGCTATTAGGTAGAGTCAAATTCCCAATGTGGGCTTCGATGCTGGAAGACATTTGAGCCCAAGCAGCTACGGGAAAGAAGAACACCCCACGACGCACACGTACTCTGCCAACCAATCTCGGACAAGCCCGTTTTGTTCAATTGGCCGCCGCCCTCCAGCCTCTCTGCATTTTAATTTCTCGACGCCCCTCATCATATCTCCTCCTCTATCCTCCCTCCTCCACTGCCTTGTTATTCCTCGCTCCGCCTCCGCTTGCGAATTCCGCAGGATGCCCGAATTCCGATTCCAGAAGCGCAAGGACATACGAATTTGAAAAACGAAAACGCGTAATGCTGGTGGTTGATTTTGGTAAGTCAGTCATGCTGATACGCAGTACCATTAGTTTCATTATTGGGCTGGCGAAAGCGCATGTGTTTCAAAACAGACGTCCGAAATTGACATAGTCGTGTGATTCACAATGTCGAATTCGGAGTCTTTTTACAACACGAGAGAGCGAGCAAAATACGCCTCGAAAGGGAGCCCAGGAATCTCGCCGACGGATTTTCCACCCACCTCGAGGGGCTGGAGGAGCACACACAAGCATCATCGTAATCGTCGTCGTTGTCGTCGTTGTCGTCTTCGTCGTCACCCTCCGTCAGTACAACCATGGTGCTCTTCCGCCCTCCTCCTCCACGTCCGACTTCTCCTGCTCAACCTCCCAGCCCTGCAAATGCGGTTTCTCTCTGTCTCTCTCTCTCCCTCTCGCTCGCTGTCCCATGTCCCCCAACCACGCACGGCCGCCGCACCCGCCCGCAGACGCAGGTGATCTTGCGGCAGCCTTCGCTCCTGACAGCGGCAGGAAGATATGCAGGTCACCAGTGGCAAAGCAACGCATGTGTGACAGGACGGTGGCGAGGCGAGGCGCCAGACGCGAGGACGGTGGCGTGGCGACAGGACGGTGGCGACGCACACGTGCCTGCGCCCATTCAGGCAAGGCGCGTGAGGCCGTAGCCCCTGAATACCATGCAGAGCTCTGTTGCGGACGGTGACGGGGAGGATGACTACCTACCAAACCACCCCAACCCAACCCGAAGACCCAAATTTCGGGTTTGGGGGGGGTACGGGTTCCATATGTGTGTTTGTCAATGTTCCCCGACCCCCCCCCCCACTGGAAGTGGAGGGCAAAGTGAGGCCTCCGGGTTGGGTTGTGATGGGTTGGTGGGTGGTGAGAGGAGGAGGAGGAGGAGGAGGAGGAGGAGGAGGAGGAGGAGGAGGAGGAGGAGGATGAAGCTGCGAACGATGGAAAAAAAAACGCGCTGGGGAAACGTTTCCGACTCGCGAAGCCCGAGATGGGGAGACTGGAGGGGCCCACCCACCCGAACAGCGATACCAGGCCGCAAGACTCAGGGGTTGAACTGCACTTTCTCGCTCTCCTTCTCTTTCTCTCCCCTTCTGCTTCACCCTGGCCCATCCCTCCCCCATTCCCCCCTCCGCCTCACTTCCCCAAGGCCTCTCTATCCGTCCTGCCTTCCTCCTCCCTCATCATCCTTCCCATCAATCCACTCCCTGCTTCATCCATCCTCCGTTCCCACCACACCCTCCACCCCTCAGCCCTGTCCCTCCCTCCCTCACTCACTCACCCTCCGTCTATTCCCCCATCCCTGGTCCCCCCCATATTAGAAAAAAAACAATGGTTTGCAACAAAATGAACGTAGGCGATGCCACTTTCGCGTGCGATCCACAATCAAGGTGAATACATCTCGGACGCCAGTGCAACCGCCAAGGCCGTTCCCACTGAGTTTGAGCGCTTGCTGTTGTGGCCACGGCGCGGTCAAGTTTGAGAGCGGTTGTTGGCAACGGGGCTCTTGGCTGGTAAACGGCAATTCGGCCATACGGACATGTCAACTGAAGCACGCGCATTCGGAGGGGATCTGGGAGGGGAAAAAGGGAGAGAAAAAAGGACAAACAAGACTCGACGATGACTGCCACACCTGTGAATCTCACCCCACTGCCACGCACCAGGGCGGAAGGTGACACCCAGCACCATCACAATACGGCTCCCATCAGCGTGGACTATATCCCCTCTCTTCTCACGACTGGCCTGGACAGGAGAGGGACGAGTTTTGGACGATACCGATGCACAACGACGCCATGCAAGCATCGGGCCGCATCGGATCGTCGGAATATCGGCATCGAAATGGATCGGGCTGGTCGGAATCGACAGCGAATCAGATCGGTCGGATCTCCAGGGAGCGCTTGGAACCGCCTGGGAACGCTTAGAAGCGCGCCTGGGAGCGCTTGCTGGCTGGGCCAGGACCCGCTTCCCAGAGCCCCAGCGTCACTATTGTTTCATGACGTCCACTCCTGGAGGTTTGGACCCGTATTCCTGGGACCGGCTTTTCATCCCGAATCGTTGTTTGACAATCCCGAAAGCCCGTAAGGGCCCCCAGAGGCCGAAAATAACGAAAAGGCTGTAGTCCTGATGACCGAGGGCTCTGGGTTTCTTTATTGATGGCGGCGCCCAGGGTGAGGGGCAACGATAAGGGGGAAGTCACATCGACCTGGAATCGGAGACACATCGCCGATAGATCGGGGCCAGGCCCCCCATAATAGCGAATCCACACGTTCCTGGGCAGCGTGGGGCAAACGAACCGCTACCCGCGATCAATGGGCGATGAGTGGTCAATGCGTCCCCCCCCCCTATGCCTTATCACCCCCCCCCTATCGTTCGGCGGCGACGGTAAGGGCGAATAGCCCAGGGGCGGGCATTACACGCATTCGCCCGGGAGCCTTGTCGAAGACATCGATCATCGGCGCCCCTGGATACATGTATTGCCTCCCCCCCAGGGCTATCCGCCCCTATCGTCGCCTCCGAATCGCTGCCCCTGGTGGGCCTGCCCGAGCCCGACCGCCCGCCGGTGCGGTGGGGCTCCGCTGCACCGGCACGCCGCAGCCGGGGCAGAGCTGCGCCTCGCGGGGGGCGGCGGCTGGAAGCGGCCCGGGGCTGCTCCAGAACAGGACCTGCCCTATCTCCGACCTTGCACTGAGGCGGTCGCAACGGCCGCCTTGCCCTGAGAGCCGGGCGTTGAATCCCGCGGGCCCTCTGCGACAGGCGGTCCAACGAGATCGTTCTTTTCCTCTTGCACAACCCCTTCTTCCCCTCTGGGGATGGGATTCTCACTGTTCCTTATTAACATACACCCCCTCCCCCAGGCGACCGGGGGCCAACCAGGAACCATGCCGACACCATGCCGACACCATGACGGCTGCCCCTCACCATCCCTGTCAGAAAACAATACAAACCGCACTCTGCCTACACATGTGGAGCATGCGCGGCCAACCCAATGCGCCACCCCCCCGCCATTCCTGTTTGGGGCAAAGTCTTGAGTCATGTTCGTGAGGCCCACGAGGACTTGCGGGGGTGTCAGCATATTCCCTGCTGCGCGCAGGGCTATTATCCCTGACGAAACACAATACAGCATGCACCTCGCGGCTAAATCTGGATCATGCGCGGCCATCCCGCGATCACTGTTGAGTGGCTTTTGCGAGGGTGGTGGCGCGTGGCCTGCTGTGCGCAAGCCCACCACACACAAGGATAGGTATCGGTTCTCGACAAGGATGGCGGGGGGCCGACACGTTTCCCGATGCGTGCTGCCACGCGCGCAGGCGCACCCGACGCACTCCGCACTCTGGCGACGCCCCCCCTCGCGCCCAGCGGCCTGCCAAAAACCGAACAAAAACACGCGAGCCAAGCCAGACAAAGAGCATGCAGAGTATCGAGATTCGTGCGCTGACACCGAAAACGGCGGTGCACAACAAGAGCATTCACCTCATGTTGCTGCCATCGTACTTAGGGACCACACCCCAGAAATAGTTTCGAGCACCCAGGAAAGAGTCGAAAGGGTGCCGAAACAATGTCGGACGAGTATCTCCCAGAGACCAGCACGTGAAGACCCTGACGTTTTGGGATACTTTTCTGGTGCTCGAATCTCGATCTGGTGGTCAAAGCTAAAGTAGGTTGGAACCTCATAGCATTGACCCCCAAAGCGGGACCACGAGTGGCCCCGAACCCTAATTGCGGAACGAAGGGCGAGGCCGATCGAGAGCCCGTGGAGCGCACCGGGGCACGCGAGGGCACGGCAGAAGCTGCCGCAGAAGAGGGCCAGACCGGAGGAGAGGAGGACGAGGAGGGAGGGGGCGGAGGGGGCGAGAGGAGGCGCACGAGGAGCGCATCGGGGCTCGCGAGGGTGCGGCAGAAGCTGCCACGGAAGAGGGCCCGACCGGAGGAGAGGAAGACGAGGAGGGAGGGGCGGAGGGGACGAGAGGAGGCGCACGTGGAGCGCATCGGGGCATGCGAGGATGCGGCAGAAGCTGCCAGAGAGGAAGACGAGGAGGGAGGAGGAGGAGGAGGAGGAGGAGGCGGAGGAGGAGGAGGAGGAGAACGAGAGGAGTAGGGAGGAGGCGGAGGAGGAGGAGTAGGAAGGGAGGAGGGGAAGAGGACCACCTCCGATACCGCCGGCTCGAGCACGCGCACCTCCCTTGTAGAGCGGGCCCGACGGGTCCACCACAGCAACGTCGGGGCTCTTGCTTCTGCTGGCCCGGGCCCATCGAGATCTGGGTCAGCCAGCGGCTGCACGGTCGGGTTGCCGGATGCCAACGCGTGGCGCTGCAGGATCCGTTCTTCCGGAGGGGGAGGGTTCGAACCGGTAGTCTACCCCCCCCCCCTTTTCATGATGGACCGGTTGGGGAGGGAGAAGGGGGGGGGGGGGGGGGTGGGGGGGAGGGGGGGGGGGGGGGGGGGGGGGGGGGGGGGAGGGGGGGGGGGGGGGGGGGGGGGGGGGGGGGGGGGGGGAGGGGGGGGGGGGGGGGGGGGGGGGGGGGGGGGGGTTTGGAACCCCCAGTGGCCCCCGCCCCCCCCGTTTTCGAGAGGGGGGAGGGCGGGGGTGGGGGACGGGTTGGAACCCCCCGGTGGCCCCCTCGCTTTGTTGCCAGCAGCGGCAGGACACGCTCTTTCGCAGGACCCTGCAAGACCCCCGCGCTCTGGCCGACCTCCGTGGGCAGTGGCCCCTGTCTCAAGGCTCCCGAGGACGGCACGGCGCCATCGTCGCGCCGGACAACGATAGAACACGCTCTTTCGCGGGATCCTGCAAGACCCGCGCTCTTGCTGACCTCCGTGGGAAAAAACACACACATATTGTGAGAAAAACACACAGTGGGAAAAAAAAAAAAACACTGTGAGGAACAAAAACACACACTGTGGGAAACACACACACACACACTGTGTGTGTTTTTTTTCCCACAGTGTGTGTTTTTCCCACTTCCTCTGGCGGACCTCCGTGGGCATTGGCCCCCGTCTCGAGGCTCCCGAGGGCGGCGCGGCGCCCTCGCCGCGCCGGGGCGCGGCGGCTGGCCACGGGTGGGCGGCGACGCCCCACCCCGACGCGCAGCCTCGAGAGGGCCGACCTCCGACTGGAGGAAAAAACACACTGTGGGAAAAAACACACTGTGGGAAAACACACACAACAAAACACACTGTGTTTTTTTTCCCACAGACTGTGTGTGTTTTTTTCCCACCGTGTGTGTTTGTGCTTTTTCCCACAGTGTGTGTTTTTTTTCCACGCGCCCGTCGCCGAAGTGGCAGTGTGATTCCAGGGAGGATCGGCGGCGCGCACAGGGGGGGGGGGGAGGGCGGGGGAGGGCTTCCTAGAAGGAGGGAGGCTTCCTAAATGGAGTGGGGAGGGGGTGGAGGGAGGGTGAGGGGGGGGGGGGGGGGGGGGGGGAGGGAGGGGGAGGGCTTCCTAGAAGGAGGTTGTTTCTCAGAAGGTGCGGGCCTTCCATCTGCAGGCAGGGCCCGCGCCTTCTGAGAAGCAGGGGTGCTTCTGAGAAGTCGTTCCCCATCCCCCTTACCCCCCTCTGCGCGCCGCCAAATTCCAGGGAGGAGGGGGGCGGGGGAAAGGGAAGAGCGAGAGGAGAGGAGAGGGGAGGAGAGGGGAGGAGAGGAGAGGAGGGGTGTGGCGGGTCTCCAGCTGAAACTTATGACAACATGAGTCGTCCGAGTCAGTCGGTCGAGAGAGACCTGGCCAGCTCTGTTGATCAAGGGCTCCCAACTTCGCGCTTCGCGCTGCGCGAAGCGCGAAGTGCGAATAACTTCGCGCTCTCGCGCCTTCTCCCAGGTGAGAAGAGGAGGATGAGGAGGAATCGGAGCCGAACCGCGAAGCGCAAATAACTTCGCGCCCTCGATGGCGCCCTTGTTGATCGTGACACTTTGGCTCAAGGCAGAGAGGCTTCCGCTCAGCCTGCGGCTGCCACAGCTGGTGGCGAGGCAGGGCTGGCCATGGGCAGGGAGGGTGGCGCTCGTCGCTGAGGGCTCGGCGGCGGAGGCACTGCTCGACGCCCGTGGCCGGTTCCGTTCCCCGGGACCGACAGGGCGTGGATCCACGGGGACGGCCAAGATGCCAGCAGAGGGCGGAGAAGATGACCGACCGCGGGCGAGAATAATACCCGGGGGATATACGAAAGCTCGGGGGTCTAGCGGGGATAATCAAGGATTTTCCCAGGGAAGGTAAAATTATGATGATGATGACGACGATCATGATGATGGTGATCTTTTGATGGCCCTGCCGAACGTTCGTGACTTGGGCAAACTGAACTGGTGAGAATCCCACAGCCCTGCCACACGCTCGTGATTGCGGAAGCTGAGATGGTGAGACCAAACATGGCCATGCTCAGCGTTCTTGATGCTGTTGCTAGTCAGCATGAGATGATAGCAACTTCGATTCGCAACTTCCCCCGTGGATTATAAAGTTCGGCCTCAGCGCCCTTCTCCACAATTGAATCCTGTTGAAAGGGGATAATCAAAATAGAGAAGACCCTTAAGGAGGGGGGGGTGTAGGCTTTACTATTGCTCGCACGCGGTTAAGAACCGAAACGAAGTGTTCGCGGTGCTCCGCGACGGCGCGGCGGGATCCCGAGACCGCCGAGGCGAAGACGGAGGACCGGCCGACCCGGATGCAGCACAGCAGTCATCTCAGTCCAGCGACCAGTGACCAGTGGGAGGAGAGGGTCCTCAAGCTGGATGATTCTCGCGGCGGATAAGAAGGTGATAGATAACCGTGCTGTTAAGACCTCCCTTCTCGCCTGGCGTAGTTCGAAGTTGCGGCGAAAGGTGTCCTCCACCCTCGCGGGAGAGACGCAAGCGCTCTCGGCGGCAGTGGCGGAAGTCGAATTTCTTCAAGTGATGTACTGGGAAGTTGTCTTCAGGGACGTGGACGTTTCTGATCAATGATGGGGTTCGGGCTCTTTTGCTACGGTTCTCCGAAGGACTGTCGGTTGGGTAGCCGTGAGGATCAGGTCCACGTCGTGGACGCCAAAAACACCTACGACACGATGCTCAAAGAAGGGAGCGCCAGTTTGCGAGATCTGAGGACCTTACTGAACGCCCGTGGCCACGTGAGATGGATACTACACGGTAGAGTGCCAGCCGACGGCATGACCAAAGATGAGGTCAGCAAGGGAAATGCTGCCCTGGCCAAGTTGCTCACCGGCGGTCGGATTGTGCTGGTGGACGAGCGTGACGAGATCTCCCGGCGTCGGGATAGACCAGATGCAAAGGACCGCTCACGGGCAGCATCGCGTCGGACGTCAAAGCAGGACGAACTGGGTCGAATTCGTGTAACTCGGCTTCCAAGTCCGATGTCCGAGTCTGGAGTCTGTGCTCAGGTATCCTCTCTCTCCCTCATCGTTTTCTCAGATATGTGGATTTGTGAGGACGTGGAGGAGGAGGCAGAGGCGGAGGAAGAGGAGGAGGAGGAGGAGGAGGAGGAGGAGGAGGAGGAGGACTGACTCTGGGTTTCAGGTCTTCTGATTTTCTGTACAGGTGCTGGCCACGTGAGATGGATACTACACGGTAGAGTGCCAGCCGACGGCATGACCAAAGATGAGGTCAGCAAGGGAAATGCTGCCCTGGCCAAGTTGCTCACCGGCGGTCGGATTGTGCTGGTGGACGAGCGTGACGAGATCTCCCGGCGTCGGGATAGACCAGATGCAAAGGACCGCTCACGGGCAGCATCGCGTCGGACGTCAAAGCAGGACGAACTGGGTCGAATTCGTGTAACTCGGCTTCCAAGTCCGATGTCCGAGTCTGGAGTCTGTGCTCAGGTATCCTCTCTCTCCCTCATCGTTTTCTCAGATATGTGGATTTGTGAGGACGTGGAGGAGGAGGCAGAGGCGGAGGAAGAGGAGGAGGAGGAGGAGGAGGAGGAGGAGGAGGAGGAGGACTGACTCTGGGTTTCAGGTCTTCTGATTTTCTGTACAGGTGCTGTCTCTTGGGGGTGCTAGACCTAAGAGAAAGCCTGACCCATGTGGCGGGTATCGTACTTTCGCGAGATGGGCCTAGCAATTAGCTCAAGCTTATGATGACATGAGTCGTCCGAGTCAGTCAGTCAAGAGAGGCAGGGCCGGCACTTTTGATCGTGACAGATTGGTTCAAGCCATAGAGGCTGTCGCTCATCTTGCTGCTGCCGCAGGGGGGGGATCGCAGACGGGCGGGAGGATCATGGAGGAGGCCGAGAGGGAGAAGGACGAGCAGGGCGAGCGAGGGATAAGCAGAGCGACGAGGAGAAGACAAGGACGAACGAGGGGCGAGGACACGGAAGAAGGGAAAGAGGAGCAACGCAGAAATTCGGGGGGGGAGTGCAAGATCCAGAGCAGTGGAACTGAGGAGAGAGAGAGAGAGGGGGACGGGAAGGACGAGGGGGCAAAGGAGAGGAAGGATGAACCATAAGGAAGAGGAGCAAGACAAGGATGGGGATGGGATGCGGAGCGGGGCCAGCGGGGACGACGACGACGACGACGGGGATGGCCACGAGGACGGGGGACGATGACGACGACGACGACGAAGACGACGACGACGACGAGGAAGAGAGCGAAGCGGCGGCGGTTGACCCCCGTCGCTCGGGCCTGGCGGGCTTTCTCCGTCCCCAGGCGCTCCTCGCAGGTGATGCCCCGGTGCCACGAGGATACCTCTCCGCGGCGGGCGCGCAGCGCAGGGTCACCCGCGCCTTGTCGCATGCGTTTTTCGGAGCCAGAAAGGCTAAATGCGAGCCAAGAGGACTCTAAAGCCCCTGAGATGGTCCAAGAGGGCCTCGAATCGCCAAACCATCGGCCCAAGACCCCGAAGATGTCCTCAAAACGGCCCATGAAGCCGTCGTTGCGCCTCAAGAGAGCCCCAAGAGCCGTCCTAGAGGGCCCGAAGAGGTCAGAATCAATGACTTGCCCCAATGTGATCAATTCCCCAATCAGTGCTTGCACTGAAGGGGTCCTAGCGGATATTAAAACTATTGGCGAAAGGTATCGGGCCGACTTCGGTGGGCGGCCGGGTTCCTGGGTTCCCAGTTCCAGGTTCCCCGGTTCCGTTTCTGGTTCCGTGCCGATTTCGGTGGGCGGCGGGGTTCGGTGGGCGGCGGGTTCTCGTGGTTTCAATTAATTGTTGGGTCCCCGGTTCCTGGGTTCCCGGTCGATCTCACTATCGATGTCATTATCGATCTCACCATCCATCTCATTCAATCGATCTCACTATCAATCAAACTACCGATCTCACTCTCGACATCACTATCGATCCCAGTATCGATCTCACTGTTGATCATACTATTCATATCACCATCGATCGCACTATCGATCTCACGATTGATCTCGCGAACGATCTCACGATCGGTCTCACAATCTGTCCCACTATCGATGTCATGATCGATGTCACTATCGATTTCACGATCGATCACTATCAATGGCCCTGTCGATCTCACGATCGATCTCACTCAATCGATATCACAATCGATACCACTATCGAACATACGATCGATCTCTCGATTGGTTTCACTGTCGGTCCCACACAAACGATATCACTATCAATCTCACAATCGATCTCACGATCGATCCTGGTATCGATCTCAATATCGATATCACTCAATCGACCTCACTACCGATCTTACTGTCGATTTCAATGTCGATCTCACGATCGATCTCACTTTCGATCTCAGTCAATAGATCTCAATATCGATCGCACGATCGATCACACTATCGCTAGCATGACACTGCATTGCGTACAGTACGGGCGCGGTCGCAAGAAACCGTTACAAGAAACCCAGCCCTCAAAACCCGCGCACGAGGTGCACCTGAGGGACACCCGGATCACCCTGAACGCAGCAGCTCCTTTCACGGCCGCCGGGAGTCACCACGTAGCGCGCGGAGCGAAGAAACCCACGGTACCCTGACGAAGCGCATCTGGTTTCTTGATGCGCGTCCCAACTGTATAACATAGCACGGGACACCCGCGCACCACGGGGCACCGCAGGACCACACGGGACACCATCGGGACACTGTCGGGACACCAACGGGACACCATCAGGACACCGAAGGGCCACTGCTGAACAACCCTGGGGACAGCAACGTTTGGTTCGGCTTCGCCCCTGCAGCGGCGAGTTCATTCCTCTGCCCGCACACGCAGCTTCGCCTCGCCCGCGCGCGACACGAACGTGAATCCGAAACCAATACCCAGTGGGGGGGTGTCCCCATCTCACTGCGATTTCACCCCCCATCCTCCGATATGTATAGAGTGAGGGAGAGAGGGAGAGAGGGAGAGAAACATAGAGAACCAAACAGCTATGGCAAATCAAGAATGAGAGAAGCGGGGTCAGAGAGAGAAAAAGAGAGACAGGTAAAGAAAGTGCGTCTAGGTGCGTATATGTGTACCTATACGACCACCCTTCGGGTGATAAGGAGGTTGTGGGGGTGGAAAGGGGGGGAACCAACATCTGACTCAATCGATCCCACTATCGATCTCACTCAACGGGACCTCACAGGACACCACGGGACACTTGTCGATCTCACGATCGATCTCACGATCGATCTCACTCCACGGGACATCACGGGCCACCACGGGCCACCACGGGACACCGCGGGACACCTCTCGATCTCACTATGGATCTCACTATGGATCTCACTATCGATCTCGGGTCACCACGGGATACCTCAGGACACCACATCGATCTTACTATCGATCTCACTATCGATCTCGCCCAACGGGACACCACGGGACACCATGGGACACCTGTCGGTCTCGCTATCGACCTCACTCGACGGGACACCACGGGACACCATGGGACACCTGTCGATCTCACTATCGATCTCTCTATCGATCTCACCCAACGGGACACCACGGGACACCACGGAACACCTGTCAATCTCACGATCGATCTCAGTATCGATTTCACTCAACGGGACACCACGGGACACCACGGGACACCTGTCGATCTCATTATCGATCTCACTCAACGGGACACCACGGGACACTTCGGGGCACCACATCGATCTCAATATCGATCTCACTATCGATATCACTATCGATCTCACTCAACGGGACACCACGGGACACCAGACGATACCGCGGGACACCGCGAGCCACCGCCGGACGGACGGACGGACGAGGGATAATCATTTGTCTGGACTTCGTCCTAGCAGCGGAGTCCCACTTGGGGGAGTCCGTTCCACCGCGATATCACCCCAACATCCGACAAGTAAATATGTGCAGCGGAGGATATAGGGAGTTATATGTATATATATATACATTTATGTAAGTGAGAGAGAGAGAGAGAGCGCGATGTAGAGAGAGAGAGAGAGAGAAACAAACGAGATATAGACATAGTCAGAGAGGGAGAGAGGGACAACAACAAAAATAACAGACACACAAAACAACGAAATAGGGAGAAACCCAGAGAGAAAGAGAGAGAGAGAGAGAGCGATATAACAAAATAGAGAGAGGGGGGGGGAAACTATGATAACTAGATTGGGCTAAGACGTAGATTTCGACCCGACCAAGGCGGGAGGAAGGCCGATTGAGGCATCTGCGAAGAATTCTAATATCCACTGATTGGGGCTTCCTCTGGTGTAATGCTTTGAGGCCCTTGCCTGTCAAGCTTCTGACACTCCGAGGCGGCCCTAAAGGCCCACAAGACCGTCCCAAGACAGGCGAAGAGGCCACCAATTGGACTCCAAGGCGGCCCAAGGCCCCACGACGGCCCAACCAGCTCTCAAGACGGCTACGCGAGGAACCCAACCCCAGGAAGCCCCGAGAGGCCCCCAAGAGGTCCGAATTCTGCATCCAAGAAGCACCCGAAATACCTCCCACGATATCCCAACGAACACCAAAGAGGCCCATGGCCCACAACGTAGGCACGGTGGCGGAATTGGGCCGAAGGCCATCATATACTTGATCAAAACAACTCGCTTGGCGGTCGTTTCTGGATGGGCTGGTGGGAATAAGGCGCGCGAAGCGGGTCGGACTCCGGGCAGGCTGGCGGGAATACTTTTTGAGAGCGACCGCGCCGAGAACAGTCGGGCGGCGTCCAAAGGCGGATAAAAAAAAAAAACTAAGCGGCGGCCTGAATTACGCGCAACGGAGAGGAAAGAAGACAAGAGGGAGGACAACGAAGGGAGGAACAAACAGGAGGCGGGCCTCGCTGACGAGCTGCAATACCAAAATGGCGAAATTCGAAGGCTGGTGGGAATAGATTTATGTTCGCGAGCGTCGCGGTCCAACCGCGCGCCGTCCAGAAACGAGGCAGCCGCGCCGAGCTCTAAATTAGGCACTAAGCACGCAGGAGCGAACTACGCTGCGGCTCAGGGGGCGAGAAAGACGCTGAAGGACAGGTCAAGAATGTGACGCAACCTTTCTTTGCAGAGAGGCCGCGCCGCCGGCCGCAAGCGCCCGCGGCGCGCGCCCCGCCGTGACAGCCGCGAGGAGCAAGCAGCAAGCAGCAAGCAACAGACACTAACAAGCAATAGCGCGGTCATGAGTGAGAGCGGGAGGGGAGGAGGGCGACGGAGGGAGAGGGGAGATGAGGGAGGGGGCAAGGAGGACGTGGGGGCACACAACGGAGAGGATGGAAGGGCCACTAATATCAAATCCGTTACGTGTGCCTGGGCTCCTTTTGCATCCAGTGGGTTCCTGAAACCTCCTGGCAACTCCCACCTGGCCCAAAAGCTTCTGAAGGCGATCCAGAGTAAGTCCCGAGGAAGCCCCATGAGCGCCCAAGGAGTTCCGAAGACGGCCCCAGAGGAGACGCACAGAAGCCCAGGGGGTGATGCCCCGTACTCAGAGACACGCACGAGATCGACAAACACAGACCACTGGCACGGACACATCGCTGTAAAAGAAAACAAAAGGAAACCCAAGAAAGCTCGAGAAGACAACAGACCCCGAGCCACAGTTCAAGTCCACGGCCGCCCACGAACAAAAACCTTACCAAGCACGCAGTGCCAACATCCGCGAAGTGCCGCGAAGAAAACCCGAACCAAAACCACCTGGCAACCAAGAAGCCAACCCGAAGCCGCCCAGACACACAAAACTACGCCGGAAAACAAACAAGCCCACCAGACGGATCCCCCATATTGGGGTCGGCGGCAGCGACGGCAGCCTTTAAGATTTCTCACGCATCACCTCGTTCCCCTCCGTCGCTTCCTCCCTTCTCCCTACTGGTTCCTGCCTCCTGGTGGCTGGGGAAAAACGCCGTTCGTAGCATCCCCTTCCCCCCCGGCCGTTCGGCCCTGGTGGGGTCGATCAAACTACAGTCTACCCGTATAGTACAGTCGGGGTGTTGACCTAAGGAACCCTAAATACGGAACAGGGCCCCTTTTTTCCATAAGTTAAACTTTGATTCCCCATCGAAAACCTAAGGAAAACCTCAGGCAATCTGTAAAACAATGAAGGAACACGGAGCCCCTCCCCAACGAAAAGGGTTCCTTCTTCAGCGCCCCGACTGTAAGGATGCGCGGTAATGATGCAAGGGCCTTGGAGGGCCACGCTGGCGCTTTTCGGACGAGGCTGGCCAGCGAAAGTCGCCAAGGACAGGCCGGAGGGGCAAGGATGCAAGGGTACCCTTGGGAAGGCTGCGCATCCTTACTATGCGGGTTGACTGTTGTGCCAGGTGACCCCTGGAGCACCGCTCCAAGGGTCACCAGCAAATACGTGTACGTAAGAGTAACGCAGAAGACGGACAGACAGACAGGGGGGGGAGGAAAGGAGGTAGTAAGGGTGGATAATAAGAGAGGTATATCGGCGCGGCAGTTCGCGGCTTCGTTTCGTTCGCGTGGCGGACAGAGCTTCATGAAGCTACCCTTGATGCGATATGCTTGCAACGTGTGACAAGAACTACCCAAAGACAGTGTGCAACGAGAGCAAAGGTGATAGAGCATGCAGCATCAATCGCGCGACAAGAAGGAGGAAGGAGGAAGAGGTGAAACACGTACACACATGGTGCCTGAAGACATTGCCTCCTCCTCCTCCTCCTCCTCTTCCACCAGTCCTCCTCCCTCCTCCTTCGGAGGAAGGACCCCCCCCAAGGCCTTGCAGCAAAAGCAAAACCGCTCCCCGTCCTCCTCCTCTCCCTCCCGTCCCCCTCCTCATCCTCCGCCTCCTCCTCCTCCTTCCTCCTCCTTCTCCCGTCCTCCTCCTCCTCCTCCTCGTCCTCCTCCTCCTGTTCCTCCTCCCGTCCTCCTCCTCCTTCCGTCCTCCTCTTCCCGAACTTGTCCTGCTCCGCCTCCTCCTCCTGCTCCTGCTCCTCCTCCCGTCCTCCTCCTCCTCGTCCTCGTCGTCGTCCTCCTCCTCCTCCTCCTCGTCCTCTTCCTTCCTCCTGCTCCTGCTCCTGCTCCTGCTCCTGCTCCTGTTGCTTTTCCTCCTCCTCCTCCTTCTCCTCCTCCTCCTCCTCCTTCTCCTTATCCTCTTCTCTTCACCCTTCGAGGAGGGAGCACCCCCCCAAAAGACCTTGCACCGAAAGCAGAACCGCTCGCCGCAGCAGGGGGTGCGCTGCTTCGGGAACCGGTGCATCCAAGCCTGCGTCGCGCGCGCTTCCGCGTGCGCTTACGTGGAGCGGGGCTGCCAGGATTGACAAAATACCAATGAAGGGATAAGGAGAACTGAAGGGGCAATGGGAAACATGACCAGAAAGACACACAGCACAGGATTCTACATATCTTTCATGTTGTGTTGATGATCAGTGTCCCTTCAACTTCCCATATTTTCCCATGCGAGCGAGGGAGGCGCCTTCTGAGACTTTTTTTTTTGTGTGTGTGTGTCTGTGTTCGGGGAAGGCTTGGAAACTGTTCAGACGGCCAGGGAACTTCCGAGCCTTTTTGAAGATACCCGCCCTTTCTCACTTCCCCACAAGCTCGCCGAACGTTAGGAGGGAGGCAACTACCGGGAAGTCGTCGTCGGGAATATAAAAACGGATTAAGCCCCATTGGGGGGTTGCTACGCCAGATTTGGCCGCGGATTAAGCGGGATGAAGTCCGATCAAGCAGGACTGAGCCAAATTAAACCAAATTTCGAACCAAGGCAAAGTCAGAATTTGACGGAAAAGAAAAGGAACGCGAAGGAAGCGGGATAGGATGGGGTAGGAATCGAAAAGGGAGAGGGATAGAGAACGGAGGAAGCGGGGAAAGGTAGAGGGAGGAAAGAAGGGTAGAAGGGGACGGAAAACCATCCCCCCTCAGTCCAGACCCCCTTCCGAAAAGATATCCCCCTGACTAAATGGTCCATATCGGCCCCATGAGAGACCCCCCAAAAGGTATAAAACGCGCGGCGTCGCATGTGACAGCCTTCCGACGAGGAGGATGAGACGATTACGAGTGCAAAGGGAGTGATCGGGGGTGCGAGGTGTAGTGGATAACTGGGCGCGACACGTCACGCCGTTGGTGCCCTCGGCCTCGCTGACACCCTCGATGGTGGCTCGGCGGCAGGGCTCGCCCTTCGACTACAGCCGGCAGCGCCGGCGGAGCCCCGGGGCCGCCCCGAAGCGCCCGCCGCCGCGAGGCGCTGACTTCCCGCGCTGGTCCCGTCTCTGGCGCGACGCGGCGAGCGAGCGTCGCCGTCGCCGTCGCCGTCGCCGCCGCCGCCGCCGTCGCCGCCCCTCTCTTCACGGGGGCGGGGGCGGTCAGGAGATGGCCGACTGCTGACGCCCGGCAGTGCCCCTGCGCCCCGGGCAGCGGGAAGTAGCCGGACGGCGCGGCGGCAGAGCGGGCCGCTCGGCGCGGCGCCGGCGCTGAAGAGGCCAGGGGCAGCCGCCGAGGCCGAGCGGGGCGCCGACGGCGGCGGCACTGGGGGCCCCAACTGCGACAGCGGCGGCGCCAGGCGGCGGGCTCACGGCGTCGACCTCGCCACGGGGTGGGGCCGCAGCGGGGCCGCCGTCGCGGCGCGGAGAGGCGGCGTGGGGAGGCGGTCCTCGGCGCGGCGAGCGGGCGTCGTCGCCGCCGTCGTCGTCGTCGTTGCCCTCCGCGTCGGGGCGGAGGGGGGCGGGGGACTGAGCCGCTCCAGCCGCGCCCCTGGGAGCGCCGAGCTCTGTTGCGAGGTGGGCCCCTCCCCGCGGCGAGAGGGCGTCGTCGTCGCCGCCTGCGCCCTCCCCCATCAATCCTCGGCGGGGGCGCGCGAGGCGGGGGGGCGGCGAGCAAGCGGTGAGCCACGCCGGGGGCTGAGCTCCAGCGGGGCCGCGGCGCGAGGGGCGGGGCCCCCGCGAAGTTGCTGGCGGGGAGTACATCGGGAAGATGATCAGCAGAACGCAGGTCTTCGGGGGGCTCGCCAGGGAGCATCAGGAAGGCTCAGGGCCGCCAGGAACTGGCGCGCGCGGCGCATCAGACCCGACCCGCAGAACAGCATTTGCCTCGTGGCGCCCAGGCTGCGCGCCTGGAGCATCTTGCAAACCAGCAGGTACAACCCGCAGAGCGTCGCCATAGAGAAAATGTTTGGGAGGCTAACCACGTCGGTCTCGTAGCGCTTGCCCCCCGGGTTTCTCGTGGGCCCGTCGGGGCGAAGTTCGTCGGGCAGTTCGTCGCGAGGCGCGCCGGGGCAAGCGCCTGGGGGGCGTGCCGCCGCGTAGGACTTGCAGATCTGGTGCACGAGATACTTGATGGATAAATGCCGGCCTCCGCCTTGGAGGAGCGCCTCGCCGCGCGCCCCCACTCCTCGCGAGATTGCTCCCTGTGCGTCGAAGGCCCCCGCGTGGCTGAGCCGCGGGAGGGCACGCCGAGGTCGCGCGGCGGCGCGAGCGCCCGGGGGCCACGGCGCGCGCCGGCGGGCGGGCGGGGGGGGGGCAGTCTCGCCGCGCCGGGGCACCGCCCTGGCTCTCTGCCCCCCCTTGGGGCTTGAGCCGAGACTAGAAAAAGAGAGAGAGAGAGGAAGGAAAATAGAGAGAGAGGGGAGGGACGAAGGCCCAAACCAAAAACACAGGGGAGAGGAGAGACATGAATCGTCAGACATGTATCTATATATATACATAAATACATACATACATACATACATACATACATACATACATACATACATACATACATACATACATACATACATACATACATACATACATACATACACATAGAGAGAAAGAGTGTGAGAGAGAGAAAGAGGCATACATAACAAAAACTGACCTGGCGAAGGACCCAACCATATGCAGTTGTGAGTACCGCAATTGTGAATATCTTCTTCGGTGGAGCTCCCTATGGGGCCACGCAACGTGTGAGGGGTGTGCCCAAATGGGTGTGCGGGACGCATGCGGGCACACCCACTGGGACCTTCGGTGGAACTCCCTATGGGGCCACGAAACGTGTGAGGGGTGTGCCGAAATGGGTGAGCGGGGCGCATGCGGGCACACCCACTGGGACCTTCGGTGGAGCTCCCTATGGGGCCACAGAACGTGTGAGGGGTGTGCCGAAATGGGTGTGCGGGACGCATGCGGGCACACCCGCTGGGACCTTCGGTGGAGCTCGCTATGGGGCCACGAAACGTGTGAGGGGTGTGCCGAAATGGGTGTGCGGGACGCATGCGGGCACACCCACTGGGACCTTCGGTGGAGCTCCCTATGGGGCCACGAAACGTGTGAGGGTGTGCCGAAAATGGGTGTGCGGGACGCATGCGGGCACACCCACTGGGACCTTCGGTGGAGCTCCCTATGGGGCCGAAACGTGTGAAGCCAAAAAGGTGTGTGTGACGTGGGATGGTTGGACTCCCTCTGGGGCCACGAAACGTGTGAGGGATGTGCCGAAATGGGTGTGCGGGACGCAAGCGGGCACACCCACTGGGACCTTCGGTGGAGCTCCCTATGGGGCCACGAAACGTATGAGGGGTGTGCCGAAATGGGTGTGCGGGACGCATGCGGGCACACCCACAGGGACCTTCGGTGGAGCTCAGTATGGGGCCACGAAACGTGTGAAGGGTTTACCGAAATTGGTGTGCGGGACGCATGCGGGCACACCCACTGGGACCTTCGGTGGAGACGCACAGGGACCTCGGGGGAGCTCCCAATGGGGGGGCCACGGTACTGTGAGGGGTGTGCCGAAATGGGGTGTGCGGACGCAGCGGGCACACCCACTGGGACCTTCGGTGGAGCTCCCTATGGGGCCACAGAACGTGTGAGGGGTGTGCCGAAATGGGTGTGCGGGACGCATGCGGGCACACCCACTGGGACCTTCGGTGGAGCTCTCCATGGGGCCACGCAACGTGTGAGGGGTGTGCCGAAATGGGTATGCGGGACGCGTGCGGGCACACCCACTGGGACCTTCGGTGGAGCTCCCTATGGGGCCACGGAACGTGTGAGGGGTGTGCCGAAATGGGTGTGCGGGACGCATGCGGGCACACCCACTGGGACCTTCGGCGGAGCTCCCTATGCGCCACGAAACGTGTGAGGGGTGTACCGAAATTGGTGTGCGGGATTATGACGACGATGGTGATGACGGTGATGATGACGACGACGACGATGATGATGATGATGACGATGATGATGATGATGATGGTGGGAGGAGGGAGGAGGAGGGGGAGGAGGCAGCGGGAGGAGGAAGGAGGAACGCGGGGACCGTCTCTTCAAAACGAGGACCCAACAACACAGGTTGGTTGGGAATAAAAGAAAACATAGAAAGGGGAAAGAGAGAGAGAGAGAGAGAAAAAAAAAAAACAAAAAAAAAAAAACAAAAAAAAAAAAGGAAAGAGGGAGAGAGACTGAGATAAGGGATCCGCCGGCCCCCTTGTGGGGCCACCAGGCTGTAGGCGCGGGATTCGCAGTTTCCTGTACCAGTTGTAGCTTGTAGTTTCCAGTGTTACAGTTCTGCTTCTTGCTGGTTACTGTAACTAGTTGATTGACCGCGCGAGGGGGGGGGAGGCCCAAACCAAATATTTAGCACCTCCTGGGCGCGTTGTCTGAATTGCTGGGGGGGCTCGAAATCGACACCCCTCACACAGATCGGCGGGGTCAGGGTCCAAAAACACATGGGATTTGCCACATGTCTGAAATTCGGTGCCACCCCTCACGCAGATCCGCGGGGTCAGGGTCCAAAAACACAAGGGATTTGCCACATGTCTGAAATTCGGTGCCACCCCTCACGCAGATCCGCGGGGTCAGGGTCCAAAAACACATGGGATCTGCCACATTTCTGAAATTCGGTGCCACCCCTCACGCAGATCCGCGGGGTCAGGGTCCAAAAACACAGGGAATTTGCCACATTTCTGAAATTCGGTGCCACCCCTCACGCAGATCCGCGGGGTCAGGGTCCAAAAACACAGGGAATTTGCCACATTTCTGAAATTCGGTGCCACCCCTCACGCAGATCCGCGGGGTCAGGGTCCAAAAACACAGGGGATTTGCCACATTTCTGAAATTCGGTGCCACCCCTCACGCAAATCCGCGGGGTCAGGGTCCAAAAACACAGGGGATTTGCCACATTTCTGAAATTCGGTGCCACCCCTCACGCAGATCTGCGGGGTCAGGGTCCAAAAACACATGGGATTTGCCACATTTCTGAAATTCGGTGCCACCCCTCACGCAGATCCGCGGGGTCAGGGTCCAAAAACAC